TAAAACCCAGGCATCTGTATATGCAGAAGAACTTCTTTCCGGTGAGAGTGACAGAGCCCTGGCACAGGCTGCCCAGAGGCTGTGGAGGCTCCTTCTCTGGAGATCTCCAAACCTGCCTGGGTGCCGCCCTGTCCCTGTGCCCTGGGTGTCCCTGCTGGAGCAGGGGTTGGACTGGATGATCCCTAGAGGTCCCGTCCAACCTCGACCATTCTGGGATTGCCAGATTGCCATTCTGGTTGCCGTCAGGCCCTAGCTAGCAGGATGCCTCTGCTCTGCTTCAGCGCCAGCTGCACAGCAGGAACACCTATGAAACCACGTCCATTCTAGCAAAATAAGGGTTATTTTTGGTGTGTGGGGGTTGAGATCCTCTGGAAAAGCCCCTCTGGTTTCCAGCACCACGAGCTGGCGGAGGATCCTGAGCGCACCGGGCAATGCTGGGAGACTCTCCAGTGCATCTTCCTACAGTGCCACGTTCCCAAGACACCTTCCATCCTCCTAGCCTGGGCTTTAGGAGCCCTTTAGGAGGGTGGATTTAAACCTTCCAAAACCTTCCACGCCAGCCTCAAACACCACCAACATCCCGAAGTGCGTCCCTGTGTCTGCACTGGGGGTATAAACCCCTCCTTGGAAGGGGTTGAGACCAGCTCCTCCTCCCCAGACACGTGGATCAGCCTTAAAGATGCTTCTTTAGGGGTCAGCACAATACGGCGTCACTTAATAAACACCTCCTGTCCTAGATGCACAGGCCATCAGCCGCTCACCCGGCCCTTTGCTCTGCTTGCTGCTAAATCTTTGGAAATCTAAATGAAACTGTGTTTTGAGGCAGTGCCTGAGCCAGGCAGACGCCTCCCTCCAAGCGCCGTCCCCCGTGTCCCTCCTGTCCCCGCGGCCGTCCCTGTGCCGCATGCGCCGAGCCCCGCGCACACACGCGCGTTGGTCCTGTCCCACCTCAGCTGTTCTGTGATTCCGCGCTCGCGGGCTGAGCACGAGCGGCTGTGCCCCGCTGCTGCCTCCGCCCCGGGGCTGGAGCCTCGCTGCAGTCTGCAAGCGGGAGGAGAAAGCTGCCACGCAGCAGCTCCGCGCGCGAATTCCTGCCTCCTCTCCTGCTCCTCTCCCGGTCCTTTTGCTTTCGGGATGCCCTTGGGGGGACACATCCCTTGCTCGGACCAAGGCTGCTGCATCTCTGGCCAAGCGACCCCTTCTCGGGCCAAGGAGGAATAGGTTTTGCAGGGAAGAGGGAGGGCCGAGGAAGCAGCCTGGCATCCTGGAGGGGGATCCTGCGTTTGGGAAGGAGCCGGGGGTTAAAGCAGCCTTGCTCTGAGTGGAGGGGAGGCCCAGCCTCCCTGCCCTGCCACGGGTGCGAGGGGAGCCCAGGGGCTCCGCAATGGATTCGTTATGGGAGCTGCCGGTGCCTTCAGTGGTTCTCAGTGCAGGGGGCAAGCGAGGCAGCTTGTGGGGACACAAGGTGTCCGTGGGGCCCTCAGGCTGGTCCTGAGAGGGCTCTGAACGACCCAACCAGGCGATTTTGCAGACAATGAGAGCAACGTTTGGGAGATTGGCTCCTGCGGCTTCGCCTCATCTTCCTCCCTTAAAGGAGGGAAGAGATGTTCCCACAGAACAGAGCTCCCCTTAGGGACACTTTGGTGCAAGCCGGCCATGTTCGCACTCTGAGGGGCTCCCCCCGCAGGGCG